CACACACACGCACACACACACACACACACTCTCTCTCACACACGCACACACACACACACACACACACTCTCTCTCTCACACACACACACACACACACACACATGCACACAGCCATGTTAGGTAGAGAAAACAACTGCAAAATAAATAAATAAATAAATAAATAAATAACACAAAGGTGCCAGTCAGTGTATAAGACACTAATCTGGTCTAAAATGTAATAAAAACAACATATAGACCCATTGTGACAAGTTTAGAGGAGACAACTTTTTATGTAAGAAGCTATAAAAATAAATGTATGTCTACCTTAGTGGGACCTCTGACACTGCCCAGGGTCTCACAGGTGGGCAGTATGAGGTGTAAGCAGGTCTCCAGATGATCACCAGTCTTTGTGGATCAGTTCTTGGACTTGATGATTTTTATGTGAGAGAAAACAGACTCCAGAACTCTCCATCCATGTGACTTGTTGCTCTGGATTTGATCCTAATGCCATTTTGCAGAGTCAGAACCTCATTTTTAACACCAGAGCAGTCCAGACTGAAACACAAATTTGGACACATCCATCCATCCTGGTGGACAGCTGCACGTCTTTATAGCAGCCACTTTTATTTTTAAAATCACAGAAAAGCACGTCTGCAGCATCAAACTCTTCTTTCATAAATAAAGTCTTAATCCTGAAAGAAATTTTCCACAGTGTGTTTTTGTGTTGAGGCAGGTACGGGGCTGCATTAGCAGCCTTACCTTAGCTTAGGAGGGGGAATCCATCTCTTTGCGTCGGTGCATTGTTTTGAAAGAAATGCAGTTCCACGTTATCCTTTTTGGAAAAGTCAAGGCAGCGCTTGAATTACATGAGTCCTCTTGCCACTCCAGGTGAAAATAAGTTTTTATTTGCTTGTTAGCTGTCTTTCATTCATTTTTTTCCCGCCTCGCTGCTTTGTTGTGAACACGTGACCCTAATGTCTCGTGAGACCGTGTTCGGAGTGCTGTTTCACCACACCCAAAACTCACGAGACTACGTCTGTGAGCGGAGCTGATGAGCCAGCTCGTCAGCTGTGCTGGGGAGGGTGGGAGGGCGGAGGGAGCGTGTTCAAGGCTGGAATGTAAACTCCTCCCGCCTCCCACCTCCACCGCTTCTGCCGGAGAGCTCAGCGAGCGGACATGAGTCCCGGACCGGAGCGCAACTGTTGCTCTCAGCTGACGAGCCGGCTCTCAGCTGTTAGAGGATGGTTGTGGTCCGTGAGCTACTGGGAACCAGCACGATCACGATCGACTGGTTGGGCACCCCTGTCTTATACTCTTATAGTATAAGCCTACTATAGATTTATGTTCTTTACTGTAAAAACAGTTTTTATTTACTTAATTTCTCACACAGTAAAGGACTTTATTTTTATTTCCATGTATTCTCTGTTGGAATATTTCATTTTTCAGGCACAGTCTGAAAAATAGAACGTAATCAATAGAATTTGCATCAAAGCATATCTGCTTCTGGATGCATTTTTTGCAAGAGGGCAAATTTGACTACTAACAGCACTGGCATATAAGCCACGTACAGTCATTGGCTACAATGACAAGCAATGGTGCACTGATTCACACATGGGTGCTGTAATTTGTATTTTGTTGCCCATTGTGTAATGATTGATGGAGGTGCTCATACACTTGTGTCAAAGTTGAGTTGTTTGAAGGCAAATTTTGCTTTTGTTTCATATTTTAAATGTTTTGGCACAGTTACTGGAGAAAATGCTGAAGCACATTTGTCTGTGTGACTGGCAATCCTTCCAGTGGAATAATGAAGGATAGATAGTTGACTGGATCCTTTCTGAGAAGTTTGTACAGCTTAGAAGAGGCACTAGGCCCTTTAACATCTTCACAAAACTTTGTCCAAGAAAGTCCCTTACATTCCCTTAAAACACTTTACTTTTCTAGTGATTGTGGGACTGTACATATACTGTTCCCACGTAGTTTTGCTTGGTTGGGATCTGTACCTTCGACAGACAACTCTGGAGTCCACCAGGTCGGTGGCTTTGACGGCCTCCAGACTTTCTCTGGACAGGCAGACTTATAGTAAGTTTACACAGCATCAGTCATGCTTGCAACCTCTGTCTCAATCTCTTGCACAGTTTTGATCCTGGCAATTCTCCCACCCATCAACTGGGATAGACTGCTTGTAAACAGATTCCAGTCAGTGTTTCTTAGGTTTCTGTAAGTGACTGGGTGTGGTTTCCCCATCTTCAGCTTAAACTGAATTCGTTGATTTTCTTGACTGAATGTCCAACTGCTACAGCATCACCTGTTGTTAGGTGGGGCAGTGCAGTGTATCTTACACCTCTTGTCAGGACTACTGCTACTCCGGGTCTGCGGCTGCTCACATCATATAGAAGTGTGCTCCCAGGGAATCCCAGGCCTCGTACTATAGACTAACCTATCCAAGGTTCTTGGATAAAGGCTATGTCTTTATGCTTCCTGCTAAGGCAGGTACATAGCATGGTACTGGCATTTTTACAATAATGCAAGTTGCTCTGTATAAATTCCATCATGCCTAAAACCACAGAAATTAGGACCCTTTTCTCCATCAGAGGACACCAACATCATGTCAGTGTCCTCATCACCTGGAGAACCCAGCACTTGTGAGACCCTGGCCACTCTCCGCTGGGGGTGCTGTCAAGGGGCTACACTTGCACTGGGTACTCCCTGTAGACACAGCAACAGCAGAGACAGAAGCCATCGCCGAGCCCCAGGGCACTAAACCCTCCGGTTGTCCAGAGCTTGACACACAGGCATCAGGTCCCGAAGCCAGAGTAAAGATTGTTCTATTCACTGGAGTTACGGCCTGTCCAGCTTGGTTCCCCACCAGACAGGCCAGAGGCACAGTCATGGGACCACCTGCAACATGCACACCCAATGTGCCACAGGCTGGGTCCCTGGTGGTTTTAGAACCCCCATTTTACCAGGTAATGGCGGCCTGTCCCTTGTCCACTCAGTTTAAAACACTTGTCAACTTGCCATCCACCCGGAGTAGATGACTGCTGAGTGTTGACGGTACCCGGGCTTTACATCAGAGTTTTCCTTCTTCTAGGTGGGTTGCCTGTCAAGAATATTGAGCCCCACCTGCCTGGCTGATTTTGGTTCGCGGTACCCTATTAGCCTTTCAGCGTATTCAGGCACACCCCTATACACTAGGAACAGGGATCCCCAATCTACCACCTGGGGATGTGCCTCTACGCAGTGCAGAGTCATCGTGAGAAACCTCAGCCTTAGAGATGAGATGATGTAGTTCCTCACCTCATCTCATCTCTAAGGCTGAGGTGAGGTGAGGAACTCCGTCATCCAGGGTGCTCAGATTGTAGACGCTGCTCCTTCACATCGAAAGAAGTCAGTTTAGGTGGTTCAGGTATCTGATTAAGATATCTCCGGGACACCTCCCTTTGGATGTTTTCTAGGCATTTTGTATAAATAAATATATTTACAGTGAGGTCCATATCTATTTGGACAGGGACAGCATTTCCCTAATTTAAGTTGTGTACATTACCACAATGAATTTTGAACAAAACATTTTACATGCAGTTGAAGTTCAGCTTTAATTCAGTTGGTTGAACAAACTGAATGCACTCCCACCATCTCCCTGTTCAGTTACTCTGCTGCTTGTTGTGGAGTCTTTGCATGTACATGGTGTCATCTGTCATTCGGCATTTTTACAACTGTCCAGTAAATCATTGATGTATATACAGAAAAGCAATAAAAACTAAGATGGAACCCTGTGGAATTCATCTTAAAGTTATGAAGGCTAGATTTCATAGCATTAACTTGAACACACTGTTCTCTGTTTTTTAGATATGAGTAGGGATGGTACCGAATTCAATACATTTTTAAGTACCGAACGAATTCTGTCAGTACTACCGAGAACCTATTCACGTAACATCAAATGGTACTATGTTTCACTATTCCCTCTATTGCCCTCTCGCGCGGATATTAATTTGTGTGCACGGGATTTAAATTTGTTCACGCAAGATCTCATTTACTTTCGCAATAGTTTTGTCATTATGCTGACGCCATAATAGTCTGTCTTGTCTGAGGCAGACATATCCAAGAACATTAATTATGTGAGTGGGCACAATATTATTTAACAAGGTTTCAATGAGAGCCAGAAAGTCAACTGCCAACTAGTGGTGAATGAACACTTTTACAACTTAATCCTACAACCGCCGGTTGCTGGGGATGTGATTTCCTGAAACAGACCTTTAGCTCCGGGTGTAAAAATTAAAAAGTTGTTGAGGATTGCTAGTTCGGCTGCTTTGTCTTTTTCTTTTGTTTGTTGTAGATTTTTCATTAAAAAAGCATCAATAAAGTAATTTTAAAACTGTTTATTGGAAAACTGAAGCGATGCATTCTGGGTACATGACAGATTTGATTTGTGACGGGAAACGAAAGCACTGAGTACAGGAAACTATCTTCCCTTCAAAATAAGAGCTTGGATTTTAAAGTTTTCCCTGTAGTTGCTCCAGTTGACCACTAGATGTCAGTCTTCATCAGCATAACATCTTTAAATCATTTCTGCGTCTCTAACACCGTTGCTTCGACCAATTACATCAAATATTGAGCTCCAGTATTTAAACTTTATTTTTAAATTTTTTTAAAAGGAGCTCCAATTGTAAAGTAAAATAAATCAATACATACAAAATTTTAGTATGGATTACAAACGTTAACTGTTTTTGCTATTGCCTTCCCGCTACGTAAGCAGACGCAAAGCATTGTGGGAAATAAGAACCTTGACCAAAAGCTAGGGATGCAAGTTATATCGGTATTGATGTCGGTATCAGCCGATATTGGCAATTTTTTAGAATATCGGTATCGGTCCGATATGTAAAACTGGGCCGATATTAACGTCCGATATTGATTTCCCTCTTTTTATCTTTGTGTTTCTGTTTTGGGCGTGGAGATGGTTGGTTGAGCGGTATCTGTTTGATCATGATAGTGATATTGATGCTGCACAGCCAGGAATAACTGAAGTAGAGCCATGTCAGAGGTCTGGTCATTTATTTACGGTATCAAAAACAGACGCAAGTGTGTGTATATGTATAATATAATTTGTGTGTTTGTGTAATATCGGTAAATATCGGTTATCGGCCATAACAGCAATAATTATATCGATATCGATATCGGCTGAAATTTTCATATCCGTGCATCCCTACCCAAAGCAACAGTCAGCAGGATGTATACCTTCACAATAAGAGTGTTTATCTGGGAGGGGTGCTGTTGGATAGATCACAAGTGTTGTGATTCATTGACAGTCATACCTTCTGCTGTTCAACATAATGATGACTGGTAGATAATTAGTTATTAGTGGTACTGCATTTTAATTTTAGAAAGTGCAAATCTGCTTATGAGTTATAAAAATTAGTAAGACCGCTAAATCTCAAATGTGTTGCAATTAGTGGATTTGTGCTTTAGCGGGCTGGTGCCCACCACTGATACTTTTTATCATTGAACATAATTTTGTCATTTGTGGTTGGAGGGTTCTTGAGTCTTAAAGTTGATTATACAAGAGCATAAAAACCATTGAATAAAATTCTGTTTAAAGGCTGAACAACAAAATAATACTAAACAAACAGTACAGCATATATTCATGATATAAAAATACCGATTTATTGTTTTTCTGCCTCTTTTTTCCACAGGTTGAGGCAGAACCTCAGAGAGAAGCATTCTCGACACGTAGCTGACCTGAAGGCTTATTATGAGTCTGAGATCCAACACCTGCGAGGCAAACTCAAAGTTTTGCCCCAGAGTTTAGAGGAAAACAATCGAGCACTAGCAGAAAGGTTTGGACTAGTTTATTTACAAGTTGTATTGTTTGTGAGAAAAGAAAGAGACAAATATTACAACAGTTTTTTTAATTAACAAATTCCAAAACTTTTACTTCTAACTTATGTTCGATTTAAGCACATTTCAAAATCGTATTCATCTGAAAGAACATTAAATGAGGTTAAAATATCTTTTTATTTTGTTTTCCTCTTTTATCACATTTTATCCACAGGTGCCAAGATCTAGAAAAAGCTCTAGCTGACACCAAAAGCCACATTCAAGAACTGGAAACTACCAACACCTTGCTGGAGAAAAAACTGGTATTCCTAAATGTTTTTTTATTAGGACTGCACGATATTAGAAAGTCTGGCGTTGCCTATAATATTTGTAAATATTGAGATGATATCAGGTGTGATACATCTTTCTTTTTTCCCCTCCATTTCTAATCTGTACTTCCTACTCTTTGTGACCTTTAGCATTTTTGGCAATGTCGTTTGTGTGTTTTGTGTGAGCTTTTGCTGCCGTTAGATTCTGTCCTACTGGCTAAATATTGAATTAGACAACTTCAAAACTCTAAATACTTTAGTCTACAATTATTGCACTCCATGCAGTCCTTTGTGATATGAATATTGTGCACACTGGTATTGCAATAACAGTATTTTTGTGATATATTGTGCAGCCTTAGTTTTTATATTATGTGGAGCAAATAATTTCAATAGTACAAGCAGTGTGTGTAAAATATGTATGGTTATGTGTGAATTACAAATGTTTTTCTTTAAACAATTATTTAATAATGAAAAAATGCATAAAAGCACTGAGTGGCATTTTGTGTTACAAAAATGTCTTTGTACTCATGAATTAACCAGTCAATGCATTATAGAAATTTAATTTGAAAGCATCTTAATTTTAACGAAATATTCTTTATTTAATATCTACGTATCTATGGCTGTGTCTCAATTGTTAGCGTGACCTTGCGCTACCCCGTTACCATACTGATCAGTTTCATGTCAGACTGAAAATGCTTTGGGTCATGTATTTATACGTCTTTTCACTGGAAGAATAACTTCACAGTTAAAACAGTACACATAAATAAATTAAAAAAAATAATGATTTGGGTTTAGCTCCAGCATCAGTACTTGTAGTTGCATTTTTTTTATCTTATTGCAGCATAAATTTCATCATCCAAGTGGCTAAATTTACTTTTAAAGGGATCCATGATTAATTGTAACATTAGACTTTATTTAATAAAAATATATTTTAACTGTAAAATAAAGACTGTAAACATACTGTAGGATGTTTAGTTTTTATCATTTTTAAACTAAAAGTTTAAAAATATATTTTAACACGGACGGGGTCATTTTATTTGCACACAAAGCATTCTGGGTAAATGATGACGTGGATAGGTCCTCGGTGCGAGGCTGCTAGCGAGCTATATCCACCCTGAAGG